TCTAGATAATCTGCTTCATCCAAGGTCCATCGGAGTTGAAAGGCCACCACCTTCTCGACAACCTTCCCAAAAAAGGAAGGTTGGAGACAGGATGCTAGTTCTTAAGAATAGCTGGGTCCAGTGAAGGCTTCTTGAGGAGGGGTCTTACCACCGCTTCCTTCAAAGGTTGCGGGAAAGATCCCTCCTGTAAAGAAGCATTCGTAATCATCTGGAGCCAGCCTCCTGTTACCTCCCTGCTGGTCGAAACCAGCCAGGAGGGGCACGGGTCCAGTAAACAGGTGAAGGCACTCATTGCTCCCATTCCCTTGTCCACTTCCTCAGGGGTGACAAGCTCGAACTCATTCCAGGAAATCTGATCAAGACTCTCCCTCAGCATCTCCGCTGGTACTGCCCAAGTGGAGTCCAGGTCTGCCCGAATCTGAGTGATTTTGTCCGACAGAAACTGAGTGAACTCCTCAGCCCTTCCCTGTAAGGGTTCCCCCGCATCCTCACCCTTCAAGAGGGAGCGGGTTACCCTAAACAGGGTGGCTGGGTGAGATTCTACGGATGCAATAAGAGTGGAAAAATGCGCACATTTTGCTGCCCGTATCGCCACTAAATAAGTCCTAATAAAGGCTCTTAATAGTGTTCAGTCGGATTCGGAGTTACTAGCCCTCCAGCGTCACTCTAGGCGTCTCTTTTGGCACTTCATCTCCCGGAGTTCCTCAGTAAACCAAGGTGCCCTCCTGGATCCACTGCCGCGGAGAGGCCACAAAGTAGCAATCCGGTCCAGCACCTCATTCACCGCAGCATTCCAAGCAGCGACCAAGGACTCTGTCGGATTGTGGGCAAGTTCTTCCTTTTGCAATTAAAATAAACAAACAAATAAAAAGAAACAACTTAATGGCTTCTAATTGGAATTGCCCATTTCTAAACATCAGATATTGTTTTATTTTGTAGCACAGTGACATCTCTGCTAATCTAGAAGTGGATGCTGGATTTTAGAATAATGATGTCAAGACTAACAATGGAAAGAAAATATGGATTAAGCAAGGTTTGTGCACTTTTTTATTCAGACAATGGCTCCCTAGATCAATTTTGGCTTTTGAGATAGATAACTAAATTTCAAGATCAGAACTTCCAAAAATCCAAAAAAAAAAAAAAACAACCCAAACTGCTGGGTGTATTTTACAAGAAGAGAGGGAGAAAATAAAATTATCTTCTCTTTCTCTTTCCCCTCCTCCAATCCCTGTTTGATCATATGTTATTTCCTCCCAGTTATTGTCCTCTCAATAATGTTAAACACAAATGAATTATGCAGAGAATCTCTAAATCTTTGGTATGCCCAGGAAATACTTCTGCGAAGCCTTTTAATTGTCATTGGTCAAGGTCTCAAGGAAGGACTTCTGCTGATAACATTCTGATCCTGGAGAAAAACTAACTCTGGACCAGCAGTCTCCAATCTTGGCAACTTTAACACTTGTGAACTTCAACTCCCAGAATTTCCCAGCTAGCATGACCTTAAAGTTGTGAACATTGGATACCCTTGCTCTAGATCAGGGGTGTCAAACTCAACTCATCACGGCAGTGTCACATGATGTATCGGGGCTTTCTTGTTTCTCTTTCTTTAGGACTGGCATGTAAAGTGTATCATTTTGATGGGATAGGAGTTTTTGAAGTGGCCTTTTAAATTCTTACTTTGTCTGTTCAGTGGCAAAATCGGAGCTGGGGGTGGTTCATAGCTGTTTTCAAAACATAAAAACCAAGTTCAACCTATGAAAACTGCATCTATATAATTTATCTATAACAAAGATATGAAGCTGGTTTATTGAATATCTTCTCCAGAAGGCCTGAAATTCTTCCAGAACTTTGGTGGGATTCAAATAATTTAACAACCAGTTAAATTTAACAACCAGTTCTCTGTCCTAATGGTTTTTCCCCACAATCAGTTCACCAAACTGCTCAGAAAGTTAACAACCAGTTCTCCTGAAGTGGTGTAAACTGGCTGAATCCCACTACTGATCCAAGGGGTACAGGGTATAGATATAGAAGCTGGTATGATTGCATTGACATGCTGTACAGATGTCTGACAGATTGTTGCCCTGAATTGTTCAGTGCATATTGCTACCTCTACTCAGAGCTGTTTCAAGCCATTGCTGGCAATCATTACAATTTTGTATTTCCTGCCCTTGAAATGTGTGGCCCTTGAAATATTATACTGCAGCGCTTAATAATTCTCACCATGCTGGCTGTGCTGCTAAGATCTGCAGATAGCAAGTTATAGATTCCTCTTTGACCATTTGTATATGTAAACATAGAAGGCCATTCTAGATGGGCCATTCAACTAAGATACTGAATCCAATCCTCTATAAGAATCAAGTTAACCGTTCCCAGCAGATGATGGCCTAGCCTGCACTTGAGCAACACAAGGATATTCTTTCCTTACTGTGCCAACTTGTTGGGTGTTATGCCAAAGAATATAGCCATGATAAATAAAACTACCACCTAATTATATTTTGTGTCTCTTAAAATGCACTGATGAAGCCCAACTTCTGACTGAGAGGAGCTAATCATTTCTGTTAAACCGAGGCGTCATATCTAAAATCCCTTCCCCAATATTCAAAGCCAGTCCACACCTCACCGCTGCCATTCCTTCTGATGGCTTTTTCTGCATGTCCTCAATCTAAAACCAAAGAGAGAGAAAATCAATATACAATTTCTGCCTAGATGAAAACTTCCTTAACTACCAAAGAATCCGTAATGAAAAACATGAGTCCAGAATATGAACCTAGTAAATGGAGAGAAAAGTTTTCAAGAAGCTTTACATCAAATTGTAAGTGGCTTGAGGTCCATTAGAAAGACCCGTAAGAGAGATCAAAGGCTGTCAGGCTCTTTAGTGCATGTAGTAAGTGAGATACTTTTCCCATGTGCCCCAAATCCTCTACTTTCTACCTGCAATAGGAACTTGTTCTGCCAATATGTATTACTCTGTTCTGAATTAGTTCTATTTATACTGATAAAAGCGGATAAAAGTTGGGCTGAGCTTCCATAACCCTCTAAGCTGTAACACAAGGTAATCCTCTGACATGATTCAGTGCCAGGTCATCCTTGTTTAACAACCACATGTCAGTGACTATTCAAACTTACAACAGGGCTGAACGAATGACACTTAGTGTAGCAGCATCCTGTGGTCACATGTTCACCATTTGCAACCTTCTCTGCTATCTTCCTACAAGCAGTGACAATGGGGAAGGCAGCAGGGGGTCACAAATGGTGACCACATGACATCCTCACTTAATGACTCATGGTGTTTCACTTAAAACTGCAGTCAGAAATTCCAGAATTTCCATTGCAAAGCAATGTATCGTATGATGTCATGTTTTATGGCCGCGTTGCTGACTGATGGACATCACGGTCTCAATTGTCATTGTTGTCATGATTTTTGCTCTGTTTTGCTGCTTATATATTAAAAGCAAATGGTTTTCTTAAATCATCTGATCTATTCTGTCAACATAAAGTTCGTGTGTCAACAGTGTTAATTAAACTGGGATGTGAACAGAAGTATTTAATTTGCTGAAATGACGATTGGCTTTAATACAAGGAATATGGCTGTTTGTGAAAGAGATGATTTATTTATAAAACTAGAACTATCCTTTGCATTGATGTTTTGTTACTCTCAGTTGACAAAGATAAGTCTAGTTATTCTGATAATGATCTTTTTGGAAATTTCTAGTAAGAATATTAATAAACAAACATATCACTAATATTGCCTATATTGGTTATATTGCTTCACCAATTTAAAGATTTTTTTGCAATTCTGAGAAGTTCTTTTGGAGAAAACATTATTAGTATTATTTTTCTAGGCTTTCCCCTCCAATTGGCTTTATTTCAATTTCCCAATGTCATATCTCACAGTTAAATTATGTCCAGTAGCTCAGAAATGAAAGAAGATACAATTAATCAATCAATCAATCAATCAATCAATAAGAATAGAGCTGGAAGGGACCTTGGAGTATTCTAGTCTAACCCCCTGCTCAAGCAGGAGATACTATACTATTTCAGACAAGTAACTGTCCAGCCTCTTCTTAAAAACTTCCAGTGATGGAGCACCTACAAATTCTGAAGGCAAAGCTGTTCCACTGGTTAATTGTCCTCACTGTTTGGAAGTTTTAAGACTATTTTAAATGCAAAAAGATTACTCATAATTTATCTTCACCTACCAAATGAACATTGGTTATGTCTTAGTGATAGTATTATGCTACTTTTGTAAAAGATGTACTTAAACGTCTGATCATAAGATAGTGCTAGCTTCCTCTAAAATATCTCATGTAACCCTCCATCTTTGTTTAGGAATATTGTGGATTTTATGACACTGAATATGCTTTTAATCTTTGTTTACTTCAAAAACTTGTACTTTATAGCCTCCCATCTAATAAATGTGACTTGGGATGGCATACAACAAACAGCCAAAAACAAATACAAACAATTATTAAAAATAATTAGAAATAAAAAAAACAAGATTGTAAGAAAATGGACAGCATGCTAAACACAACACAACTATTTTTCAGGCTCCCTGTTCCCATAGGATCCTCAAGGTTGCTGAGAAAAACATTTATAAAAGTTTTCTAGAAGGCTAGAAGACTAGTGACTATTTGAAGTGACTAGTGACTAATTCTAGAAGACTAGAATCATGTAGTAGATAAACCAAACTTAAGCTAGTATAGTTGCGAAACTGAATTAGCATAGCTAAGTATTACTCACCAAGATTGGGTGGGTTTTGCTATGAATAATTAGGTAATATTAATACAGAGTAGATTTGCCTGTATTCTCAAATATCTGACTTTGGCCCCATTTGATTTCCAACTTACTATATTGATTGTTAGGTTTCCTCCACTCTTGTAGATAATTAAGCTGTTCACTGACTTTTCATTGATCGAATGATTAAATGTGGAGGATAATCCTTGGTGCTGTATCTTAAAATGAAGAAGTTGTTGATTGCTATTGAGAATTAATCTGGAGTATTCAGCAGGGTCCTGAGCAAAAGAAAAAGGTTTTAATCTATATCTGCAGTGCAGTTTTTTTTTTCATTTAGTAATGAAGAATAAATTTCAAACACACTTTTGCATTTTTCTATTAAAAATAAGTTTTGAATTTCACTAGATCAGTGCGGTACCCATGTACATTTAAAGACTTGATGATATGAGGAATCCTGAGATAGTGGCCTGTATTTGTAGTTTCCATGAAATAAATATTTCTCAGTAGATCACAGCATATTTAATCATCATCATCATCATCAAAAATAAAGAAGTTAAATTGCTCTGTGACTTTATAATTAGAACAGACAGGCACCTGCCAGATAGAATCCCAGACGTAACAATTATCAATAAGAAAGACAAAAAAGTCTGGATAGTGGATGTTTCAGTGCCTGGAGACAACAGAATAGAAGCGAAAGAACTGGAGACAATAATGAAATACAAAGACCTACAAATAGAAATAGAACGACTGTGGCAAAGGCAACCAAGGATAGTACCAATAGTAATAGGTACCTTGGGTACAATCCCAAAGCAACTGGAGCACCACTTGAACATCATTGGCATTGACAAATTCACCATCAGTCAATTGCAGAAGGCAGCTTTACTTGGAACAGCTTCCATCCTGCGATGATAGTTGTAACATCATCAACCATCCAGATCTGCCTATCCCAGGTAGATGGTAGGAGAGGTCCTCGCTTTTCTCCCTGCTGTAATTCTGATTAAACTCTCTATTTCCCTCTGGGCAGAAAGAAAACAGTATCTGGGCTACAGAGTTCATGGACAGATGAGGTGAAAACCTTTCCTTCCTCAGTAATGCTGGTAAATATAATGACGAGTGGAGGGATTGGTCCCTGAGTTAGGGAAGACTGCTTGTGTATGCTGGACAGTTCGCTGCTGTTTATCAGGATTCTTGTCAGGTAGGTGGGGGGAGGAATGGGGCATTAGGCATATCAGTAATGAGAGTAAGCTGGTAGGGATGTCCACTTCAGCTTTAAAGTGTTCACTCACACAGAGGACTGACTGTCTCTAAAACTGCATTTTATAGAAAAGAAGGTAAATCCTGAAAAAGAGAAACTTGTAAGGCAACAATTTGTCAGCAATGCCAAATGATTCCTCAGGGGGGGAAAGGAGAGCTCAATTGACAAGGAACCTCAGCTTCAGACTCAACTGCTAATGTGGAAGTGGAGTCAGTTTCTAGGCAATTCTACTCTGCTTGTTCTCCTGCCTAAATGAATAGTCACCCAGATATTATAATTAAAGGAGAAGGAGAAGGACAAAAATCACATATATGAAGCTATTTATGCAAGAAGTCTATCTAGAACAGGATTTCCCAAACTCTTCAGTTCACTTATCCCTTCAGGAAGTTTCACATTGTTCATTGACCCACAAACATATATTTATTAAAATAATTTAATAAATAATACTTCAATACTTTAAGAGCCGAGGTGGTGCAGTGGTTAGATGCAGCACTGCAGGCTACTTCAGCTGACTGCAGTTCTGCAGTTCGGCTGTTCAAATCTCACCGGCTCAGGGTTGACTCAGCCTTCCATCCTTCTGAGGTGGGTAAAATGAGGACCCGGATTGTTGTTTGGGGGCAATATGCTGACTCTGTAAACCGCTTAGAGAGGGCTGAAAGCCCTATGAAGCGGTATATAAGTCTAACTGCTATTGTTATTGCTAATAATACTACAAACAACAACATCAATAGTAACAATAATATTGACAGTTGAGCCATTTACTGGGTCTTTGTGACTCCTGGGCATTTAAAGACTCCTTTAGATAGTCCCAATGATTCTTGCATGTCAATACTGGTCATTTTAGGGAACCTTGATCTACAGCATCAAACACTAACCTGCGATAATCACAATAAAACCAGAATTGAGAATGATTGCATGGCATTGTCTTTTGAAATAAACAAAAATATTTGTACTAGATGCTGCTGGGATAAAGAGAAAATAAACATATAATACTCCAGATCACCTGAAAAGGTTTAATTGGCTGCCAGAACAAGTCATATCCCTCAATGGTCAGTTCAACATCGCTGTCTGCTAAATTCAGGACCTGAATGTAGCTTTCTTTGGGAACTGGGTTAGGCATAGCATTTTCCTAATTAAGAGAAAAGAGTGTGTCAACAGCAAAACAAAATGCATGATCATGTGAGGAGAAATTATTAGTGATTAAGATTTCACTGGGTTGGTTAGAGTCCACAGAGATGCTAGTTCTTTACCCTTCAACCTCATTTCCAAATAAAGAACCCTCTGTCTTTTTAGCACATTGATGAGCAATTAATAACATAGTGCAAAGCAGAAAAATAGCCAATGATACATAAATGTAGAACATTTGCATCTCTGACCCTGTGCAGTGGTGGGATTCAGTCAGTTCGCACCACTTCGGAAAAACCGGTTGTTAACTTTCTGAACAGTTTGCTGAACTGGTTGTTGGAAAAAATAATTAGGGCAAGAACCAATTGTTAAATTATTTGAATCCCACCACTGTGCCCATGGACACTATTTTACCCGTACCTCTATCTTGAGTTCCACAATAGCTGCAGCTGCAAATGCCAGACTGGCCAGGATCATGCCAGTTGCCATCTTTTTAATGGGCCTGAAAGTAAATAAATACAACTTAATTAGAATAATGTACAGCTGCCCTCCAAGTCTGAGATCACAGCACTTAAGCCACATGCATTTGATTCAGCTGAATCCAGCAATCCTTGATATGAATGTTTCTATAATATATATGAACATATTCAAGGTCTATTCAAATGGATTTGCTATTTTGTTAAAGAATGCTCTCTGCTTGCAAGATTCCCATTAAACTCTCCTCTTAGCTCTTTGAGGAGGGAACTGAGTTGGCATTCAGTTAATGTGTGAAGTGGAGGAAAGCAAAACTGATGATCTATGTCCAGCTTGCAAAGTGAGAAGTGAGACAGAAAAAAATGTGTGGGATTATTGAGCTGAAAGGACATTAGAAATAAAGTGCACATCTTCAAATAGTTCTGTCATGATGAAAAGAGTCAAATGAGGGAATTTGCAGGTGAATATCTCAGAACTGGTAAAGGGCATATTAAAAAGATGTTTTAATTAATGAAAACTTCCTGCCCTTGAAGAAAAATATCCTGGCCTGTTGTGCAGACAATTAAAATAATGCTTGCATTCAGAGTTGGAAAAGAATAACTGGGGTTCATATAAACCATGATTTCCTTAATCTTGTTATTTGTTGACTAAGCTACAATTGGATAGGTTCCAGTGGTGGGTTTCAAATTTTTTTAGAACCTCTTTGTAGGTGTGGCCTGCTTTGTGGGAGTGGCTTGCCAGCCATGTGACCAGGTGGGAGTTGCTTGCCAGTCATGTGACTAGGTGGGCATGGCCAACTTGTAAAATGTGGTGAAACTCACTTAACAATGCTCTTGCTTCGCAACCAAAATGTTGGCTCAGAAACTCTGGCATTTGAAGCACGCAAGTTTTAAAGCTGTCAAGTCACAAGACCCTCGCACCCTAACCCTTTAGAAAAAAAACCCAGTGGTGTTCAAACTTGATGCCACGACTCCTTCACTTAATAACCAAGAAAGAAACCACTCAACTCCATTTTGCAGAATTAAGAGTACTTTTACTGATTATAAGTAATTAGAAGCTACGCAAAGCTGGATCTGAGCAAAAGGTGCAAAAGCATATCAATACATGATTCATTCCCCTCCCCCTGGTACCCCAATCCATAGTCCAATCATATATCTCCCCGGCTGTCAGGTGGGAGACATCTTCAAAAATCATCATCAGGTTGGTATGCTGGACAGTTGGCCATGGCGGGAAACTCCCCCTCTTCACATGAGCAAACGAATGGTGAGAACAACTCCCAATTAACAGTCCTCCTGCACAGATTATTTCCCTCACCCAAATACCATGCCCTCCCTCCCTGTTTCAATAGCAGCTGAAAAGCAAGCAGCAAAACAGAGGCTGACATCCGGCCCTCCTCCAGAAAAAAAAGGACAATCACTACTGCAGAAACGAAAGAACACATACAAACAGATGAACAACATAACATAGAAGAAAAGAGGGACAGGGAAAGAAAAGAGAAATCAATCGAGGTCAAGGCTTGTCTGG